TGTTTTTTTTTGTAGTTTTCTAATACTCTGTACAAGGTTCTTACGGAAAAAAATATAAAGAAAATCCCAAGGGGATAAAATAAGGAATGAAAGTTTGTATGAAACTTTATCAATTTTAAACCGATCGGGCTGAGACTTTGCATGCAGGTATAAGAAGAATCATAGATGAATGTCATTGTGTATAATACAAGCCTGAGAACAAAAACTGTAGTCTACACTTCAGCTCTACACCGAAGCGAAGCGAGGGCGGGCCGCTAGTTTATAATATTTATCCACATGTTTCTAGTTTGTATATTCGGAATACGTGTTTGAGTTTCATACAAGTGCAAATCACATATGTTCTAATAAATTATATTCAGTAGCGATTTTAATTGAATATTTTGATTATTTATTTATTTTTTCAAATTAAAACTGAACTTTATTGACTGTGTCCTTTTCCAGACTTTTTATTAATTTATTGTAATTAATTATTTGCATGCAATTAAAAACTAATTTTAAACGATGCCAAAGAAGGATAACTTCTCACGCGCCTACATAAGTACACGCACCCATTTTTTTTTGTGTGAGTGTGTGCGTAATGTTGTAACTGGTTTCGCAAGTCCTCCACGTCAAACTTAAGCCTGTGTTTGAATAAAGTAAACATCTACTTTCACTGACCAGACAACGATAGAGAGTATGCATTCCATGAGAACTGCGAAACACACGTCCATCATTTATTTGCATTCTCAGAACCTTTGGTAGGCAATAACACTTGACTGTTTGAAACACCTACAGAATTGATAGAAGGTTTATTCAGAAAAGATCAGACACTTTAATTCGTTATGATATTTAACGTTTTCATCTTTTTCAAATCATGTGACAGTGATGAAACATTGAAACATAAGCAGACTAGCAAACCAGTGAACCAAATGTTCACCAAAACCTGATTTAAAAAAAAAATGTATTTAATTAATTGAGAACTTCGGAGATTTTGTGTGGTTTCGTTTGAAATTCGTGATTTCTCGAAAACCGGAAGTGCTACGTTACTCAAATCCGGTTTGTAGTCTTATCATACTATTCTTAACTTACAACTTAAATATTCTCTTTATCTATCTCTTACGGTTTGGCCGCTGAAACAGCACCACAGACAGACGTACGGACGGACTTGTCTAATAGATAAGAGATTTTAATGTTCGTCTCTAATAAGGTTTACGCATGCACGGCTGTTGTCACAGACAACTTCAACTGTTGCGGGAAACGTATCCTTGTCGAATTGAATATATTTGCACTTGGTTTCCATTTAACCTAACGATTGGCGTCCAGAGATAGGAACAGTCCACAAGGATTGTAAACATTGACATGTCGTGCTTACTCCTGTCGGCGTTCTTCTACAGGTCATAAGCACGCTTGCTAGGTCAGAAAGTTAACCAAGGTTAACTCGTGCTTCCTCACTGTTGTGCTTTTGTTGCCACCGAGATAAATCAACTAACACTAGGTTTCCGCTCAATTATAATTAATTCATAGCTTTGCTAAAAAGATAACTTTGGCTCACAACTTTTGCTTCCTGTTGAGAAACACAATAATAGATAGCCTCTATTAAAAGTATTACCGATTGTACGTTCGTTTCTAGCACTGTGGTTTGAAGTGAGGTTGTATAATTTGTTGTGAAAGAACATATGTCATCTTCGTCATACAAGCACTGATTTGTGAGAGACAGGTTGATCCTCTCCTTTCTCACGTCACTACCACGATCTATATCTTATGAGAAAAAGTGAACTTTGTGTCACTGAGTTGAGTTCTTGTATTGTTTCCTTCTTTGATTGTTGTCTTGGGAATCACCATTTCTCACAATATTTTCTCTATTTGAATATTATGCAATATGTACGTATTCATTGTTATTTACTGGCTCGGCTCCATTGTTAATATAAACTTTTGTTGGTATCGTTAAGAGCCCTTTTACAAAATTGCGCCGCTGCCGTACTTATCGGCACGAAGGTAGATTTGCACTAGTATATATTGCATTTACGGGTAATGTTTCGAGTCTTATAAAATAATTATTAATGAACTAATTATGAAAATATATACATATTTCAGTAGTTCAATGATGGTAAATTAGTTTTATGAAAGATTTTAATAGTAATTCTATTTAATTCAATATCAAAATACGAGGTAAACCCGCATTACTTTTTGGGAAAACTCACGGAAGTTAGATGTTTTTTTTGATAATTAATGAGATGGAAAATCAAAATTCTAATACATTATGTTACAACAAAAACATATTTCTGATGTCGTAGTAATTAATTTGATCTAATTTATTGAAGTTGTGCATATTATCGTTTTTTCCATAAACTAGCTGCAGTAGAACGATCAGTCCAAAAAAGGAAAATAGTATTTGCAAATATTCTACATTAACTTACAATAGGAAGAATAAATCTACTGTTTACTTCTATTGGAAATAGTCAAAATATTTTCTAAGGGGGTAAACGAAGAGCTCAAAAATTACGATTTTTTGCAAAACATGTGAAAGGGCTCTTAAAGAATGATCTTAAAATTTAGTTTTTCTGGGAATTCATTACTAGTAAACACCAACTTTAGATAAATAACTTATTAAAGTACTAACAACATTAAATATCGATTGTAAAAACAGGATTTCGCTATATGCAGCTCTGATAGACAGTCTCTTATCATATCCCGCGTCTAAAGCTATAATTTCTTTGCTGTTTTGCGTAACGAAGTTAAACCATACAATTCTTACTATAAATCCTTAGTCATGTCAGCAATACAGCACCGTCATATAAGTAAAGTTTATCAAAGCCATACAATTTAGATGACTATCTTATGATCTAATATTAATAACTGACCTTGCCCAATGAATACGTTTAGAACAAGAGATACTGTTAAATAAATTTTGGTTTAGTGAATGTAATATGTATGTATAGGTATTTTATCTGAATTGAGGTTAAGTGAAAAGGTCGAGGGCAACACGAATTTCGTGGACACGTCAAGGTCCTTTATCTAATGGTAGCCATACACACTACGAGAAATCGTTACGATCAGACTGTACAGTTCGAACGGTACCGATAAATCGTAGCGTGTATGTTATAAAACTGCACAGTTTCCTATACGTACGCCACGTACTACCGGCCATACACACTACGAGAAATCGTTACGATCAGACTGTACAGTTCGAACGGTACAGTTTATACGATTTCGTTTAGTATAGGAAACTGTGCAGTTTTATAACATACACGCTACGATTTATCGGTACCGTTCGGACTGTACAGTCTAATCGTAACGATTTATCGTAGTGTGTATGGCGGGTATACGATAAACTGTTCCGTTCGAACTGTACAGTCTGATCGTAACGATTTCTCGTAGTGTGTATGGCTACTATAACAAATGTATATAAAGTCTGCACATTCGGCAATGAAAATAAATGCTCCATTTGAAAATGGTAAACATTTTTATGTATAAAAGATTTCTCTAGAAAACTAAGCTCGCCTTAATCAAATAACAGTCTATGCCGCAGCTTTTGTTGCCCGTGAAAATAATCCCTATTTTTATTTGTAAACATATTTTGTTATTCGAAGTGATTTTTATTATAGATAAAGTTGAAAATAAAATTCAGAGGTGCATTGTGCACAAACGGCTTACTAATGTTTTCACAGCAGCACTATCACTTTCTTATAATCCGATTAAATAGGGCTTAGCTTTTTATTGTGGCGCGATTAATCGGGTATACAATATCGTGCGTGGCCTACTTGTTAATAAAACATTTTTTTAATACCTTTAAGTAAATGCATTGCACATGTGAATTAAGGCCAATACACAGACACCAAATATTATTTTAAATGTTTAAATACTCATAAGGGAAGTTAATCTAAAACAGTACTAATTTAAGTAGATAAATATCTAAGATGATCTTTTTTGTGGTATGCACTTATGCTATTTTTAGTGTTACTTACATATTATATTCGTGTAGATTGGAAAAGATCGAGTAAATGTTAGTTTATGTGCTTTTGCAAATCAATTTTTTTATTATAACCTGCACAGAATATATGCTATTTAGAAATAAGAAACAAAATCTATGTGCCGATAAAGAAAACTGATGTACTCAAATAAATAAGGGTCACTTGCACCAGAAATTCTTAATTCAGATTAAAGCTTAATCGTGTTTAAAATACCATTCTATCTTTCTCAATTGTTAATAGTCGTATATAAAGAGATAGAATGAGGCATAAACATGATTACTATTGAATTTGAATGCAGAACTTTAGGCTGCGTTTCTGCATAAGCAGAGATGCACGGACTTGAGCACAGTCCTTAAAATAAAAATGGATGCGTGTAACTTATGTACGCGCGTGAGAAGTTATACTTCTTTAGCATCATTAAAAATATTTTTTAATTGCATGCAAATAATTAATAATTACAATAAAATAATAAAAGGACTGGAAAAGGATAATTAACACAGTCAATTAAGTTCAGTTTTAATTTGAAAAATTAAATAAATATTCAAAATATTCAATTAAAATCACTACTGAATTTAAGTTATTAGTCCATATGTAATTAGCACTTGTAAGTAACTAAAACACGTTGTGTCTATATAGAAACTAGAAACATGTGGATAAATATTATAAATATGAAAACAGTGATCAGAGGCGACGAGCGTGCCAACATTGTTTTTGACAACGCGATCATCTTATGGAGCTCCGTGGATTAATTAATTAATTATGTATATTTTATTAATTATTATTATTAATAAAACTGAATTCAGACTACTGTTTACATTTAATTCATTTCTAAGTGTAAATTTGCAAAATATCTGACGTCACACTAGGGATGGTGTTACAAATGTGACCAGCTGTGATGGATGACCCCTAAGTCGAGGGTTGCATAAGTGATAGATAGATAGATTTACGAACCGATGGCGTAGCTTCTAGACATTCATATGTGCTTGTAGCAGCCTAAACTGAATAAATGATTTTGATTATTGGTTATGATTATGATTGATAATTTCTCCAATGTCTTGTGTTGTACCATCAGCGGTGACAGAGAGGCCGGTGCCGGCGTCGCGCACGGGCCCGCGCGGCGTCCAGGTGGTCAACACGGGCCCCGACCACACCTTCATACTGGACGAGGACGCACTCGCTGAATTGTTGCTCAAGGAGGATGTACGAGACCGCAGCGTGGTGGTCGTGTCCGTCGCGGGAGCCTTCCGCAAGGGCAAGTCCTTCCTGCTGGACTTCTTTCTCAGATACATGAACCACAAGGTGAGTGGATTCAATAGGGATGATGACTAATTTTTTTTTCTTCGTTTATCAGGTAGATTATCAAAAAGTATTGGACACGTGAGGAGCTCGATGGCGCAGGTGGCTAGCGCGTTCGGCTGCGATCGTTGAAGTTAAGCAACTTTCGCAGTGGTCGGTCATTGGATGGGTGACCAAAAATTTACTATCTCGAGCTCCTCCGTGCTTCGGAAGGCACGTTAAGCCGTTGGTCCCGGCTGCATTTGCAGTCGTTAGCACCCACCAATCCGCACTTCGCCCGCGTGGTGGGTCATGGCCCAATCTCCCTATTCCATCCAAAGGGAAGGCCTGTGCCCCAGCAGTGGGGACATTAATAGGCTGATGATGATGATGATTGGGCACGTATGTTTTCTTTTTTCACATAATATAAACATTGCAGAGATATATTGATTTGAAAAGGCGCATGACGTCACGTTTGAGTACACTTATAAGTGAAAATTCACTCAAAAGTGACGTCACGAGCCCCTACTCTCAAACTTTGACGCGCTATAACTATGTCATTTTTTGGTTGATTGCCCAAATAAAAAATACGTGTCGATTATTTTTTGATCATCTAACTGACGGACTTAATAGAATTTCGTTTACTGTACCCCGTCATCACCCCTATTGTGGTTAAATGCGCGGTTGACGTATTGCACTGCGCCACGAGATGGCGCGCGCAGCATTGTGGTTTCCGTGAGAATCTGTAGTGCCTGTAGATATTGCCATCAATTTAGTTAATTTAGAAGTGATGATGGTTAAGCATGGCTTGCTATGTAATATAACATAGTATTTCATCATCATCATCATCAGCATATTAATGTCCCTACTGCTGGGGCATAGGCCTTCCCTATAGATGGAATAGGGAGATTGGGCCATGACCCACCACGCGGGCCCAGTGCGGATTGGTGGGTGCTAAAGACTGCAGATGCAGCCGGGACCAACGGCTTAACGTGCCTTCCGAAGCACGGAGGAACTCGACATAGTAAATTTCCGGTCACCCATCCAATGACCGACCACGGCGAAAGTTGCTTAACTTCAACGATCGCAGCCGAACGTACCGTACCGTAGTTAGCGAACTACCTGCGCCATCGAGCTAGTATTTAACTTTAAATAAAAAAAGCTTAATTATTTTTGCATAATGTGATTATTTGATATCGCCATTGACCCCTTGGGGGCTATTGGAAATGTTGAGAAACACTGAAATTCGAGGGGAGCTTTTATTTTCGTCCATAACATTTGTATGACCTTACTCTTTATATAAGTACAGGACCCTTTGATCTAATCCTGTTCGTCCACACGTGTATGTCATGTTATATAATTTTCGTCATGTAGTCTGGACGCAACGTTACAAATTGCTTTTTATTGTTTGTTCAATCGCGGTCGACACAGATATAAATCTTCATACAATAGGCTATTTGACAATATGAGAAATAAAGTACGAATTATTGAAATGCGTATTTAACATGAATATTGGGAGCGACTTCACTATTCTGACAAAAAAAGTAGTTGATAATATTACTAAAATCATGATATAAAGAAGTACTTTTTCATCTGTTGTCACGTGACCGAAAACGCCTATAATTGGCGGAACCTAAAATGACGACACCAACTAGTAAACATCCTATCGAAGTAATATTAATTTGTGCTGTTTGATGTTTTATTGACATCCGTGTGACGTCACATGCCCGTAAGACACCACATTGAATTGACCATTGAAACGTTACCGCTGCACATTTGTAATACATAATTTTTGTTTTAATTTTTTACTGATATACCCAATAGAATAATAAATATCCACTTTTTTATGGTGTCAGTATATAGTAATAAAAGCACTGACGGCCTGTTTCGTACGCAGATAAACGATTCTATTGGCCGCGACAGGCCGCCAGTGCCTGATATTAATATTGCCTCTGTGATTTCTTTGCACATGCTGTCGTAGTCAGAAAATAAAATTAGTGTGCACGGACCCAGACATCTGCAGCGAAATTTCTTTTCTTAAATAACCTAACATCGGGCGGTGCATAAGGCATTGGGGAATCCAGCAGCGCACGCATCACACATATGTATATAATCTACGATTCCATACTGATTTATGTTCGACAAATTATAGACAGAATTCCTACTTCAATAGAGTAACACAAAATTTTAACAATAATTATTCAAGTGATGTGGACGTATTTCTGGCGAGATAAAATTATTTCAAAAAGATTTTGAATAGTAAATATATTAATAACTAGCAAACCCGGCGAACTCCGTTTCGCCACCAGATGGCTTCGTTTTATGTAACATTTCGTTTGGTGATTAAAAGAAGTTTTTTTTTTTAATTTTTCCTGAATTTTCTTTGCTGTAAACCTCACGGAGCCCGAGACCTTTCCAACGAATGCAAAACCGTGGAAATCGGTTCGTGCGTTCTGGAGTTATAGCGTCAGGAAGGAAAACCCGACTTATTTTTATATAGTAGATAATAATAAAACCTAATTTAAATTACTTTGTTTTTATCACCATTTGCTCTGTAGGTATGGCTTTATGCTTAATTTTTTACTCCTGTGTTTTTATTTTTATATAGTTTTAAATTAATCTACGGCCTCGATTGGATTAAGTATATTTTATTTGATTTGTATTTGTGAAAACTGTATAAGGCTTATCAATGCTACATCATCTCGTTTTATCCTTAGTTTTAACATGCCGTTTGTTTTCCATGAATAAATAAATAAATATATAGTCGTGTGACGCTCGTGAGGCATTTCTGTTTCATTTTTTCCATTAACACCCCTACCGAAGAGAAATTTCAATAAAGTTTAGATGATTGTTACGAGTGGATCTTCTTGATTGTTATTGGTCAGTACGGCGCGGGCGTCGCCGGGGTCGCGGGGGGCGGGGGCGGGGGCGGGGGCGGCGACTGGCTGGGGTCGGAGGACGAGCCGCTGGAGGGGTTCAGCTGGCGCGGCGGCTCCGAGCGCGACACCACCGGCATACTCATGTGGTCCGAGGTGTTCAAGGCCACGCTCGACTCCGGAGAAAAGGTACGTGCCTAGTAGTGCCTGCCTGCTAAAAAATCCTATTATCCCTACGAGTGGAAATTAATTAATAGGGAACAGGAGAAAGAATTATAAGAAAGAAGATGAAAATATTGGTGTTTCATATATAAAAGCAGTCAGGTTTATGACTTACTATATATAGTTATAAACCTGACAGCTATAAAGGCTTATAAGAAATAATATAGCATAATATGAAATAAGCTGGTTGTTAAAAGTACTCAAATCTATTTGCAAGTGCAAATCAATAATTTTTCACTACTTTAAAAATTTTTTTTGCATACTTAAAATTTTAACATAATTTCTTTATGTCAGGTGGCGATTATACTGCTGGACACGCAAGGCGCGTTCGACAGCGAGTCGACGGTGCGGGACTGCGCTACCGTATTCGCCCTGTCGACCATGCTGTCATCCGTGCAGATCTACAACCTCTCACAGAATATACAGGAGGACGACCTGCAGCACTTACAGGTGATTCAACATCATCATCATTAGTCTATCAATGTCCCCACTGCTGGGGCACAGGCCTTCCCTATGGATGGAATAGGAAGATTAGGCCATGATCCACCACGCGAGCACAGTGCGGATTGGTGGGTGCTAACGACCGCAGATGCAAGCGGGACCAACAGGTTGACGTAACTTCCGAAGCACGCAGGAGTTCGTGTTCGTTAATTTTTGGTCACCCATCCAATGACTGACCACTGCGAAAGTTGCTTAGCTTCAACGATCGCAGCCGTAAGCGTTAAACACTTACCCCGAGCTCTACTTACAGGTGATTATCAACCTTAAAACTGATGTTGTCTGATTTTAGAGTAATATGGAGCTATGTTAAAGAGAGACAGCATGATATTTTGTCTCACTAAAAAAATAATTCACGGTGCTTATTGCAACCACTAAAATAACAAAATGGAATTTGACTCTCACACGAATTTGACCTTTAAAAACAATAATTACATTTAAAAACTAAAAAAAATCGCATGAATTATTCGTAATGTCTGGTTCACCTTTAACCACATTTCTCAAATTCAAAATCGTTTATTCAATCTTGGCTGTAACAAGCATATAATATAAGAAAGTCAATTGCTATGCCATCCATTTTTTGTGCCACATCTGTCGAGTTACCGATTGTATAAAGGCTTGTTTCAATGTGTGTCCATATTTTTAGTTGCCTAACTAATATTATAAATGCGAGAGTGAGTTCGTTTGTTCGTTACGCTTTTACGCCTAAACCACTGAACAGATTTGGATGAAATTTGGAAATTTGGTACGCATATAATAATAATAATAATATTCTTTATTGACATACACCTCAGAGGACATACAAGACATTAAACATATAGTTTATGATCTGGATTGAGACATAGGATACCGTATGTCCCGGAAAAATATTAGGTACCTGTTGGATTTAAAAAAAGTGAAGTTATCGCGGACGATGTCGCGTTAGACCGCTAGTAAGAAATAAATCATCCATCACCCCATTGTTTTAACATACCAGTTTTCAATTACCATTTCATGTTAAATGTAAGAAGGCTTACGCAATAGCTCTTACATTTATTTTGATCCTTCGAGCCGGAATATTTCCGCGTAAATAAGCTGAATGTAAACAGTGAATATCTTTCTTTTCATATAATTCGGAGAATAGAGCGCTAGTGTTTTATGGATAAATTAGATTTGGTCGGTAGCCCGTATTCGGGTACACGAAAGACATTACTCGAATTCGGGCACCCGCAGCAATATTGACACTGGAATTGGAATTCATTTAAGCAAGCCATACACGCTAGGGTTTACCTGAGTGTGTATTTCACGTAACTGCGCAGGTTTCGACGCCTGTACAGGCAACTCGAAAAAATATGAATTTTTATTTTTCTACCTGTGCAGTTGTTGTGCAGCGGTCGTCTGCGCAGGCTAGGGGTGTCCACTCTGAAAAAACATCGATGTATTTTTTGATTCGATACATCGCAACTATACATCGATGTCATTCGATGTATCGGATGAAAACATCGATGTATTTTAAACATCGAGTACTTTTTCTGAAATTTTATTACAAAACTCAACTTATATGTGAAAAGACCTTAATTCATAATTTTATTATAGTTTATATATTAATCTTTCATAAAATAAAAGAATTAACTCCTTTCATAATGAGTAGGTAAAAGTAAATACAAGTAAAAGCCATGTGTCAGAAAAATCTGTATTATATTTTTTTACAAAAGATCAAATTAAAAAAACACTAAATAACCCGCAAAATTTTTGCTAAGTCTGTCAAAAGAATATTAGAAATATACTTCAATCTTAGTTTCGTTCACAAAACTAAAGAAAGAAAGAAAGAAAAAGTATTTCAAATCTAAAGGTTATTAAATGCTCATAAACATAGAAACTCGTAGTTATTTTTTATTGTCACTGCACTGACTCTTGCGCAGTGCTGCCAACATCGGGTCCAGAGAATTCGGAATAATGATGCTTTCATAATAGTAATAAGTAAAATTTTAGTGGTCAAACTGAAGTTTTTTTACTGAGGTCAAATCAAAGAGGATATTATCACTACGTGGTCAAACTCTATTAACAATTCGATGTTTCTTTAAAACATCGATGCATCGAGTATAATGAAAGCTTTTCAAAACATCGGATCGATTCGATGTTTTTCATTGCAAACATCGATGTTTTCGATGCATCGATGTATATCGAATATCCCTAGCGCAGGCGTCAGTTGTCCGGTGACTGTTAGAGGAGAAAGACGCGCGGCGCTCTACTGTATAAGTACAAAATGTCGTCTCGTAAACGGAACTAGGTCCTGAAGGAGTTTGTAGAAATCTATAAATCAAAGTATTGTCTATGGCTCATAAAATGTTCTCCCTGTTGCAATGTATCTTACGTCACTGTCTAGATGAGGCGATATAGCTTTAATCATTATTGTATCCTGCTTCACAATTAAGAGTCGCTGTTGTTAACAGTTAAATATAGGTATTTTCATCCATTCGTTGATAATTGCGGTAATCTATTGGATTAAATTTCAATTGTTTCAGTAAATTAACATGAGAGTACTGTTATCTTATTTATTTTTATTTAAACTAATAACGCTACTGTGTGGAAATCAAGCGCCGCTACCGGGGTCATAGTTTCAACTGAAAGTTTGTACAGGTTTACCACTACATGTATGGTCTCTACTAAACTCAAGGTTACCTGTGCAGATGAACTGTACAGGTAAAACTGTCAGGTATACCCTAGCGTGTATGACCAGTTTTGCCAGGTAAGATTTTCAAAAATCGGGAGTCGATATAGAAAAAAACAGTAGATGTATGGAAAGAGCTACAAGAAAAACAGTAGATGCAGAGGCGTACTTTTTCCGATTTGCATCCCCTCCTAGAATTGGTAAATCAAATCCAAGATAAAGACCAATAACGAATGTGTTTTTAGACAATTACATTTATTTTGTAATTATTAGGGTAATCTACATTATTAATGACGGAAAATGCAATTTAAAAAAGAAAATCGTATTTAAAAAAAACAGGAGATTCATGTAGAAAAACAGTAGAACAGGAGAAATTTAAGAAAAACAGGAGATCTCCTGTAAAATCTGGAGACTTGGCAACACTGTGTATGACTTGCTTAAGTCGTTTATCCGAATTCCATTGGCACCTATATTCGGCCTAACGTCCAAGTGTAATCGGAGCATTAGTAGATTAACATGGAAAGCTTAATTCTATATCCGGCGTTGTTTTATTTTGTGTGCAGTTGTTCACCGAATACGGGCGTCTGGCGTTAGAAGACAGCGGGCGGACGCCGTTTCAGAGGCTGCAGTTCCTCGTGAGGGACTGGAGCTTCCCCTACGAGGCGCCCTACGGGGCTGAGGGTGGGCAGACCATACTGCAGAGACGACTCAAGGTGAAATATACTATCCGTATGAGATTTATATAGAAGACTAGCTGACTCGGCGAACTTCGTACCGCCCAAAAGTAATAATTAGCAATAAATTAAAATTGCGACTATAATTTGAGATTTAAACTATCCTATCTCTCAAGTTGGATCGAACTGCACATGGTGTGCGAATTTTATTATAATCGGTTAAGTGGTTTAGGAGTCCATTGAGGACAAACATTGTGACACGAGATTTATATATATTAAGATTAGCTGTCCCAGCGAACTTCGTACCGCCATAAAAAAATTGGGGTTGGTGGTAGAAGGGTAAAAATTTAGGGTTGTATGTATTTTTGTATGATGTATCATAAAAAAATAAAAACATTTTTTTTTCCAAAAAAAAAAAATAACGGTGGACCACCCTTAACATTTAGGGGGATGAAGAAATGATGATTACGCACACCGTGACACGAGAATTTTATATATTGGATAAAAAGTTTCCGTGTCTCACCTTGGACAATCCCATGAATTGAGGATCATCCTCAATGTTATTTTTTAGATTAGACATCAGAAAGAGAAATACTTGAATAAAAACAAATAAATTATTCTTTTTCACACTTTTTGTTTGTTTCATACAAACAGAACATACGAACATAGAAAAATATATCGATTTTCTTAGTAAGTACATCACACAGCTTCTATTGCTAGAAGTCAGGAGTGTAGTTAAGAAATAAAACGAACAGTTGTTTGATTAGATACCGTATATGTAAAGAAAGGCAAAGGCTATGAGCACATACAGCTTCGTCTTTAATTGAAAATGCCTACCTAATGAAGACGCAAGATACAATGCGGTTTTTATAAATTGTCAGGAACAATGAACATGAAAGAAAATTATGTTTAGCGCATATTCTATCAGGAATAATGATTGAAGCCCACGCCATCTCTTCGCATTGTAGGTAACCCACAATGTCAAATGAAATACCTTTACAAGTATGTAATAATGGGCACAAGCTAAACAATTTCTTGCGTAGTTGATTTTCGACTCGTCTTTATTTTCACAAATTATACACATGATCATAGTCTGCGTATAATTTATCTAGTAAACTTTTCTGAAGATTTAAATTCCTAGCATTTAAAATGCTTAAAAAATAAAAAAAACATAACTATAATTGCTATTTCTTCTTTCAAAAGTTTATGACTTATAAAGGTATTTCATTTGACATTGTGGGTTACCTACAATGCGAAGAGATGGCGCTGCCTTGCAGCCTCAGCTAGAGAAAATTCGACACGGCCGTCAGGGCTGCGGTAGCAAAATGGTCAGTGCATTCGCCTGGATAGCGAAGGGTGTGGGTTCCGGTCCCGTCCGCTGCCTGGTCCACGTGGAATTTATTCTAGTAAACTTTTCTATAGATTTAAACAATTAGCAGTTAAAATGATTAAAAAATCAAAACATAAATTATACACAATTAGCTCTTCTAGTAATTGCTTATTTATCCAGAGGTTCTCAAATAGGGGCCTGAAAATGCGGCGAAATGGTCCCAGTAAAGGATGGTGCGGCAGTGTTTGCTTCGCGCTCGACTTGGCGGGGGCACTGCCGTGCCCCCCGATAATCTGTGTCTTTTGAATATCATTTTAACTTATTTGTTTCTTAGGTTTTCACGCACATCACTCATTAAATAAAACTAGTTTTTACGGGTTAATGCACGAAACTTTTAAAATTGTTTTTAAATAAAAAATCATTATTCTGACGATGCAGACCTGAAAAGGCTGCGAAACGTCAATAAATAAATAAAGTTTCGTGCATTAACCCGTAAAAACTAGTTTTATCATATTAACTTATTTTCTTCCTCGTAGGTGTCGGACAAGCAGCACCCGGAACTACAATCTCTCCGTAAACACATCGCGGCATGTTTCTCCGAGATCGCGTGCTTCCTGATGCCGCACCCCGGCCTGCGAGTGGCTACCAATCCACGCTTCGACGGACGACTCTCTGGTAAATATTATAACATACATCTTATAGCGCGATTACAATAGGCTATTTGACAGTATTAAAAATAAAGTGCCAATTGTTAGCATCTGTATTTAGAATGAATATTGGCTGGAGTTTTTACTGTTTTTACAGGAAAAATATTCATAATTTTACTAAAAACCCATGATAAAGAGATGTACGACACACTCGTCAAAACTGCATTTTCGTCAAGCGATGCAAAATTCTTTATACTGTCTACTCGTCAAATTCATGTTTCTCCGTACTCGTCATAGCTGCACATTGGTCAAGTTTTTATTTCTGCATACTCGTCAAAGCTGCACATTAGTCAAAGCTTTGCAAATCGACGATTCCATAAATAAAAGTAAAACAATAATAGCATAACGTGTTTATTAAAACCAAAACAAAATAAGAAATCTGCTTAAAAAAAACATACGGAATTCGAAAAATTGTTTTTAAACTAGTTAGGTTTATTTTAACTACGTATATTCGTCGATTTACAAAGCTTTGACTAATGTGCAGCTTTGACGAGTATGCAGAAATAAGAACTTGACCAATGTGCAGCTATGACGAGTATGCAGAAACATAAACTTGACGAGTAGACAGTAAAAATAAGAATTTTGCATCGCTTGACGAAAATGCAGTTTTGACGAGTGTGTCGTACATCGATAAAGATAATAGTTTTCTTGTCTATTGTCACGTGACCCAAAACGCTTGGGATTGGTGGAGCCCAAAATGACGTCACACGCAAGTAAACTTTCGGTTAAAGGGACATTTGATTGTATGGTTTGACGTTTTAATGACAGTCGTGTGACGTCACACACCAGTGAGACGCCATATTGTCCAGAGATACGTTGTTCGCGGCAACTTGAAAATAGAGTTATTGATTTAGTTTTTTTACCGAAATACACAACATAATGATGAATATCCACTTTTTATGGACTCTATAAATATTAGTAAATAACGTGACATCGTTTTATAAAACTTGTCAAATATTCCCTATTGGTCGTCAGCCCGAATACAAGTGCCTATGGGATTCGGACAAACGACTAATGGCGCAATTACATTTGGCCGTTTGCCCGTATACGGGTGCACGAAAGACGTAACTCCAATTCGGCCACCCGAATGACAAAAAAGCAAAACAAACGAGTCCCGTCTGCTGCCTGATCCGCGTGGAATTTTTCCTAGTAGTATTTTCTTCAGATATTATTTCTTACTTTTCAGTTTCATTTTAAATTTTGAAGTCGGTTTTCTTAACATAAACTTTTGATATTTCTCGTCAGATATCGAAGGGGAATTCAAGCGGTCGCTACAGCAACTGTTGCCTATGCTGCTGGCGCCTCAAAACCTGGTGCCAAAGCTCATCAACGGTCAACAAGTGAAGGCCAAAGATCTGCTGCAATACTTCAAGTCCTACATGAACATCTACAAGGGGAACGAGCTGCCCGAGCCCAAGAGTATGCTGGTGGTAAGTGGCGGTGCTTCATATACGATTCAGAAGCGGTTCTGTGAAAAGAATGCGGTGTTATTTTATTGGCGAAATTAGTGAGACGTCCTGAAGGCCTACTCTACTTCAACGAAAAACGAAATTTCGATCGAAACTTCGCACTTTTCTTCTCTCACTATTTAAATGTAATATTAATTACAAATGAAATTTAATTTAACCGCAACTGTTTGCAGAAAAATTAATATTTCGGAAATTCGTTAAAAAATGTAAATATTAAATCTAATCTTAAGGGCGCGTTTATATGACATGAAATGTACGGCGACTGCGCCGTACCGCCTACCGCCTGGTGGGCCCGCCACTGCGAATCCGATTCATTTCCAGTTGATCTTTGTCCTTCTTAAAAATCACACGTGTTCGTTATGGGCTATTTGACTAAGAAGAAGAAAATTATGATTGCATATTACTTGTACCGACAAAGAAAAAAAGAAATGTAGAAGATTTTGGTTTCATCCTATTGTAGCACGGCGCATAGTATGGTGAATTTCATATGCTATACAACCAACTGCCAGAATATGAAAAACAAATCGCAGATTATTTCCGAATCGATGTTAAAACATTTGATACATCATTTTATTTATTTTTATCATTTGATTCACATCACACAAAACGTTTAATGTTAAAACATTCGAGTGATTCGAGTGAGGCGGCCGCGCGATCGCCGCGCAGTTAGTTACTCGCAAAGAATTTCAAGGTTAAGTCCTAGTTAATAAAACATAAATTTGCTATGACTGAACAGTTATTACGAGGCGGCCGCCATTTTTTCGCGTCCTCTATCTGCACCTAATTGGCGCTACTTTGTAAAAAGCTGAGAAATATTCGCACTCGTTGTTCTTGTTAAAAGATTTCCTGGTAGGAAAATAATTAAGAACGATCCATAAGAGATTTTAATAAGTCATAATTTTGACGACGCATCCTCAAAAAAGATGTGAAACGTCAAAATTCTGTAAAAACAAAAAGTGTTAAAAAGGCATTTAAAAGGCGCCCCCTTCAAAAACTTGTATCATTGAGCTTTCAATAAGTCAATCTGAATAACGTGTATTTTCATTTCATTTCAATGTAATGGCGTGATTACACATTAGCCCGAATGAGTGCCAATGGAATTCGGGTAAAAGACTAAGTGTAAATGAACGGAGTCGGGTATGCCCGCGTTCAGGTAGTTTTCGTTGACACACACTGCAAGACCATCAGATACTATTAGTTCTTTTTGTTTGCATAATTTAACATAAGAAGGAGATAGAAAGCCTCTCTTGAGTTTGTTTCGCCGGTTCTTCTCAGGAAGGTCTCCCAATTTTAGAACCGGTGGTAGTTTACGGTAGTTAGGGTCAAATAAATAAATAAACTCAAAATTACAAACAAGAATTTTAAATAAAATACTTTATTAAGTAAATTAAATAATAAATTCATACATAGACAATAAAATTATAAAAATCTTCCAATGAAATAACCGAACGCTCAATATAAGTCTTTCGAAGGTAGCTCGACAATTTTAAATAAAAAATCATTATTCTGACGATGCAGACCTGAAAAGGCTGCGAAACGTCAATAAATAAATAAAGTTTCGTGCATTAACCCGTAAAAACTAGTTTTATTTAATGAGTGATGTGCGTGAAAACCTAAGAAACAAATAAGTTTTCGTTGATATCGTTTTCCAGCCCTTATTGCAGTGTAAATATTGCTTTGGCTGCCCGAATTCGAGTAAAGTCTTTCGTGCACTCGAAATACGGGCTAACCTCCAAATGTTATTGCGGCATTAGGTCCCCACCATAATATTCTTTCAATAGGGATGATGACTAATTTTTTTTTCTTCGTTTCGTTTTCGTTTAGGCCTTCCCTATGGATGGAATAGGGAGATTGCGGTGCGGATTGGTGGGTGCCATCGACTGCAGATGCAGCCGGGACCAACGGCTTAACGTGCCTTCCGAAGCACGGAGGAGCTCGAGATAGTATTTTTTTGGTCACCCATCCAATGACCGACCACTGCGAAAGTTGCTAACGTCAACGATCGCAGACGAACGCGCTAACCACTTGCGCCATCGAGCTCCTCGAAAACTTATCAGCGCCTTACTAAACTGGCTTCTTCCATACAAAATTTGACGATGACGATACGATTACGGAGCTGTTGAAGTTTGTTTTTGGACCTCTGCTTTCGACAATTAAAAAAAATAAAGAACACTACACACAATGCCATAACTTTTCCTGAGGCGGTAACGATTGTGATTTGCTTACAATAGGGATGATGACTATGTTTTTTTCTTCGTTTATCAGGTAGATTATCAAAAAGTATTGGACACGTATTTTTTCACATAATATAAACATTGCAGAGATATATTGATTTGAAAAGTCGCATGACGTCGCGTTTGAATACACTTATAAGTGAAAATTCACTCAAAAGTGACGTCACGAGCCCCTACTCCCAAACTTTGACGAGCTATAACTTTGTCATTTTTTGGTTGATTGCCCAAAGAAAAAATACGTGTCGATTATTTTTTGATCATCTAACTGACGGACTAAATGGAATTTCATTTACTGTACCCCGTCATCGCCCCTATTTGATTTTCATAAAATCTAAAAAACGATATTTCCCCACAGGCAACGGCGGAAGCTAACAATCTCACAGCCGTAGCTGAAGCCAAGGACGTGTACACAACTTTAATGGAGGAGGTTTGCGGGGGGGGCGAAGCCCTATCTGCAGGGGCAGTTACTCGAGGCCGAACACGGGCGGGCCAGGGACAAGGCGCTGCATGCCTTCCATGCTAAACGGAAGATGGGTGGGGAAGAATTCTCGCAAGGGTATTGTGATCAGCTATCTCAGGTGAGTCCAAAAACTATGAATAAAAGTGAAAAAAAAGAACAGTAAAAACAGCAAGTCAACTCGCAAAAAAAAATGGGTGCGTGTACTTATGTAGGCGCGTGAGAAGTTATCCTTCTTTGGCATCGTTTAAAATTAGTTTTTAATTGCATGCAAATAATTAATTACAATAAATTAATAAAAAGTCTGGAAAAGGACACAGTCAATAAAGTTCAGTTTTAATTTGAAAAAATAAATAAATAATCAAAATATTCAATTAAAATCGCTACTCAATATAATTTATTAGAACATATGTGATTTGCACTTGTATGAAACTCAAACACGTATTCCGAATATACAAACTAGAAACATGTGGATAAATATTATAAATATGAATACCTATAACTGTTACTTTATTACAAAAAATAAAGATGTGGTTTTTGGTTCTACTATACCAATGGTCAAGAGATGGCGCTGTAGTCTCCTGAATCGCGCTTTGGTTCCGTTGTTCCAGATTAATAAATACTTTTGATAGGCCTTCACAATGCAGTCGTTAGCACCCACTAAATAGAGATTCTATTTCTATTTTGTTGGTAGATTTTCTTAATGTGCGGTAAACACGAAAGTAACAGCATGAAGTTGGTCGCTAAAGCGACCAACTTCATGCTGTTAAAATTTTGTGTTACAGTGGTGCGCGCGCATCTTAAAATTTCACTCTCATCATTTTTTCATAACGCGCCTAAAGAAGTATAATTTCAAAAATAACTTTGTAGTCATCATCATCAGCCTAAGTAATATATGTCCCCACTGCTGGGGCATAGGCCTTCCATATGGATGGATTAGGGAGATTGGGCCATGACCACCACGCGGGCCCAGTGCGGATTGGTAGGTGCTAACGACTGCAGATGCAGCCGGGACCAACGGCTTAACGTGCCTTCCGAAGCATGGAGAAGCTCGAGATAGTAAATTTTTGGTCACCCATCCAATGACCGACCACTGCGAAAGGTATATTTATGTTCAATTATATATATTTATATGTGGTATGAATGTGTATATATATATATATATAATATGTATGTATATGTAAGTGTATGATAGACAATTACTTATATGTACGTATATTATATTAATTACATTTCTCATCGACTCTGCTGGCTTACTACATCTTCTTTTCCGTTTAGCTTACCTATACCGCCTTAGCCCTAGGTTGTCTGGAAGAGATCGCTTGTAGCGATAAGACCGCCTTTGCCCATATTATTGTTATTAATGTATTGTTTGTACCTATGTCCTTTTGTATGTGTGTCCAATAAAGTGTTTATTATTATTATTGCTCAACTTCAACGGCCACAGCCGAACGCGCTAACCACTGGCGCCATCGAGCTCCTCGTTGAGTTGGTGTGGTTAACAGTTGTTGAGTTCCCTTTTTAAGTGAAACACACCTATGTGAAATTTCCAAAAAAAATCGATCGTTCAATAAATATCAATTTCATTGTTTAAGGACGTCCAATGTTTATCCCTGTCTATTATTTCTAGGACTTAGAAGAGCAGTTCCTCCAATTCGCCGCCCACAACGAGAGCAAGAACATATTCAAGGCGGCGCGCACGCCCAGCGTTTTCTTCGCGCTGGCACTGGCACTATACGTACTGTCTGGCGTGCTGGGTCTACTGGCATTGTACCCCCTGGCAAACCTCGCCAATCTGTGCATGGGACTGGCTTTGCTGACGTTGGTGTTATGGGCTTATATTAGGTGAGTAATGACTTTAGTCATTGAACTGGCTCTGGCACTATAGGTCTTAACTAGCGTGCTGGGTTTACTTGCATTTGTATTTGCTGGCAAACCTCGCCAATCTGTGCATGGGACTGACTTTGCTGACGTTGGTGTTATGGGCTTATATTAGGTGAGTAATGACTTTAGTCATTGAACTGGCTCTGGCACTATAGGTCTTAACTGGCGTGCTGGGTTTACTTGCATTTGTATTTGCTGGCAAACCTCGCCAATCTGTGCATGGGACTGACTTTGCTGACGTTGGTGTTTTGGGCTTATATTAGGTGAGTAACGACGTAAGTCATAGAACTGGCTCTGGCACTATAGGTCTTGACTTTCGTGCTGGGTTTAGTGGCATTTGTATTTGCTGGCAAACCTGACCAATTTGTGTATGTGGCTGGCTTTGCTGACGTTGGTGTTGTGGGCTTATATTAGGTGAGTATTATCTGTAGGCATACACCTGGCACTGGCACTATACGTCCTGTCTGGCGTGCTGGGTCTACTGGCATTGTATCCCCTGGTAAACCTCGCCAATCTGTGTTCTTTACGTTGGGTGTTGTGGGCTTATATTAGGTGATTATGAACAGAAAAAACACTGCATATAAATTAAATTGTGGTTTCACCACTAACGTCAAATACACTTCCGGACACATTTCTCGACCCACCTAGCATTTTAAGTTTTGACGCAGCCTAGCTAAAAATAAATGTTACAATTGCGCAAAAAGTTTTTATTTTATTTTAGTAATAAGTATTTAGACATATTCATATGGTAACAATAAAATTTTTTGCTCAACTTTACATATATTTTTGCTACTACATTGAAGCTTATAACATTAATTGAGCCGATTAATGTGTCCGGAACTATATAACAACTTGTTATCTAAAACATAACGAGAAATAAGGTTTTTTTTTAACATTTCAGGTACAGCGGTGAGATGCGAGAACTTGGTGTTACTATAGACGAAGTGGCAAACTCTTTATGGGATAATGTGAGTATTTATACACATTACCGATAAAAGAGGTCAAAGTGAATAGCATTATTTTTTTAACTTAAATATATTGGTTTAACCCCGATACATATTTATATACAGGATGTTTCAAAAATACAAATAAGGATTGAAGGGCGTTAAAGTACATCATATAAGGAGTCTTCTCTAACTTTCTTAAAATATTTGCATTAAGTTTTAACTTTTTATAAAAACAGTTATTTATAATGATTAATAAAAATATCGATTATTTTAAGACACGTCACTAGTTCGAGGATCATTAAAAATAACTGTTTTTATAAAAAGTTAGAACTTCACACAAATTTTAAGAAAATTTGAAAAGACTCCTTATATGATGAACTTCAACGCCCTTCAAGCTTTATTTGTATTTTTGTAACATCCTGTCCTGTATATTAAATTTTCTCGGTTAATGCGACTATTTTTCATTACTTTCTTTTTATGAACATATCTTGGCATAAATGTAATTGGTCGAAAGAGATACTAAATGTAGCATTTCTCAATATTATCATCATCATCATCAGCCTATTAATGTCCCCACTGCTGGGGCACAGGCCTTCCCTATGAGTGGAATAGGGAATATAAGTGAATATAATTATTTTTTAACTTAAATACATTTGTTTTGCCTTAATACAGATAGGTACCTTAATATATATTTTTTTCTTTATTTCATTTCTTTTTGGAGCAATATTGACATATCGAAAGAGATACTGAATTTAGCGTTTCCCAATATAAGCTATGTATCCATATTAATTTGTTATTCACGGGATTGTTACCATGCACCTTGTTTTTAACTAGTCAACGATAAATTACTATAATGTTGACCATGAAAGTTTAAGGGTGTATTCTGTAATATATACCAGTATACTGGCCAGTGCTAATGACGTCGTGGATCGATGCTATACTAGTGAATTGTTCCGAAATATATTGGCCAGTGCACTGTCGTCATAAATCGACGAAATATTAAAAAAAGTGCGAATACAGAAGATTTTTTATTCACCTCATCAATTAAAAGGAATTCTTTTCGTTCGGATGCCATTATTGTTCTTTAAATAAAAAGGGAAATAAAATTCGAATGCATCTCACGCACGCTCGGTCATACGTCATATTCGTTTTCCCGGTAAAAGTATGGTAGCATACCAGTACAATAAGGCGTCGGATTCGTGACGTCATTACCACTGGCCAGTATACCGATGTACATTTCGGAATACACCCTAAAACAATATTTCGTTTCGTTTGTTTCAAAGGTGATGAAGCCGGTATACCAATCGTGCATAGAGAAGGGAATGGAGCACGCGGCGCACGCGGCCGCTGAGAGGATGGTGGCGCCGACCCGACCCAACGGCAAGATGAAGGGCTTGTGATGACCCACCCTGCTCTACACACAGCCCCGTGCGGTGCGCCGTGGGCCACGCGACCGATGCGCCATTATACTCGACATAATCTGAATTACATATCGAGGAAGGAAATTGGAAACGGCACTGGAAATTGTGTGCTAAATACGAGAATTTTGACAGACAAATGAAAATTTTATTTATATTAACAGACCGACTAATGAAATTTATGCAGTGGAAAATGTGTGATGAAAATAAGAATTTTGACAAAGACAAATGGGAATTTTGTGACTATTAAAAGTTTCATATGGAAAATTAGATAATTAACATCCGATTTGATTTTAAAAGTGAGGCAAAGGTTTTACTTACATGCTTCCAGCCTTTGAAAAAGACAATCTAAATAAATCATTCACCTCTGTTACAAAATACTCCTATAATATCAGAATGTTTTCTTTGCTAATGTATATCATACAGATTTTATTCAGTCAATATGTCACCAGTGCTTGTATGTCAAAGTTCACTGGAGAAAACCTTATACAGAAAACCACTTGCAATTAGTTAAAACCACTGTGTATTTAAACATGATTATAATCAAGATTCTATGAAAATTAAAACTTCTAAATAGCTGTGAAGATTTCACAAAGGCATCGTTGCCATTGTGGATTATCAAAGAAGAGGTCTGCGACGATATCACTCGAACTTTCAATAATTCTATCAAGAGTTTATCCGTGTTGTGTGTGAGTGCAGTGTTGTTAGGAGTACGGGGCCATCGGGTGAGTGTTTCAATCTTACGTAAGGCAGTGTACGTTCGGTGATGGATTACGTTTACAAACAGTATGTAGTGAAATTGTGACTTAGTGCTAGTGTAGTGAAATTATTGTGTATCACTTTGTTAATCTGGATATGATTGCATTTGCGAGACGGGAATACTGAAACATTACTGCATTTTCGAGAGTGCACTATGATAGACAATAAAGGTGGTTCTATATTTAAAAAGGTGAAAGGTAATAGATTATTGGCGAGTTTTCCTGATTTACAATTTGAGCAACTCTCAAAATTGAGTCACGTTTCAGTATTAATCGTTTGACATTTGGATAAAGCTCTTTATTAAACTTCGTTATGTTCACAACATAAGATTATATATTTTAATCTCGATGTAAATAGCTACAATAGAATTGAAAAATCTCCAAAACAGATAAACTAAGTGATACCGGTGTTAAATCGTAAATATGATGGGACAGTTCTGTAAGTAAGACTTGGGAATATCGTAGAAATATTAGGCACAAAAATAATAACAGACACACAGGATGTTGAGGGAAGTCACTTCCCTGCATAGGGCAACACGGAAAGGAGTAGCCATATTCAAATAATATTATTCAAATCCCTCTGTAATTTTAGGGGAGGGGGTGGGGCACAAACGCAGTTTAACTACACACTCACGCATAAACAATGACACGATACGTCGCCAAATTCTACAAAAATGATACATTTTCGTTTTTTTCGTTCGTTCCTTCGTATCAGGGCTTGTTTACCGGTTAATTTTAAAACCTAAATCAGTGTCAAGTACATTAGGAGCGTTTTATTTAGGTTTGGCTCTACCTTAACCTTAAATAACCGGTTTTCCTAAAAAGCGAAAACAAAAAGGTTTTTGAATCAATTTAGCGGTTTTTAAAGTGTTTCATTTCGCTCTTACTGACGGCATCGATAATAAATGAATAACTTGACTCACTAGAGGCTAGGAAACGTGCCCATAAATGCATCAAACTCTGAGCATTAACAAGTTGTGACTTGATTAGTTCAAGCAAAACAAACTTCAAGCGATGCCGACGCGTGCACGTGCCGCTCTGGATTAAACCGGTTTATTAAGGTTTTAGGTACCGCTTTCATTTCGGACGCGCTACATACGAAACCTTTACTAAAAACCGGTAACAACCTTTATTTACCGGTATTTTCGAAACCGGTTTCAAGCCCTGCTTCGTATGCCTACTCGACAGATGGAAAAGCTTTGTATGCCTACTCCCCTCCTGGCCGCGTCGCTCGTGTTGCTCTACGCTTCTCTATAACTGCACCTGACTTGTAGTTGTACTTAAAATAAAGAACAGACAAATTAATATTAGACGTGCAAACGAAAATGTATTCTACAGTAGCAATAAATAGAACATTATATATCATTAGGTTTCCTTCTGTGCGCTGTTAACTCAATCTCATTTCAATATGTATTTCTCTTAAAATCTAAAAGTTTCCTATGTTAGCGATACTAATTATTATTATTGTTACATATAAAAACAATGATCAGATACTTTATACAATAATTTATAGATATAGGTACTTGACAAGCGACATTTTAATGTGTAAAAAAAATCCCATAAGTTGCCAATACAGCTTATTAACTGTTGTATAATTATGCTCATTTAAACAAAATTGATTGTTGTATGCTTTCAGAGTTTATTTTGTTATTTACCTAGCTCAATTCGGACACTTGGCTTTGTACACCTTGATTTTAGACCTTCTTGCCAATCACATAAAGTATTGAATTCAACGAGTTCACAAAATATGGTTGTGATCACAGGAGAGTTTTTGATATTAGTTGAAAAGGCCCGAGTCACAACTAGCTTTGCAGCTTGTCAATACGAACACCACCAATGTCTTCTTTTTCCGTGTTACTTTCATATTGGAGTTTTGAAATATTTGGTTCTACCCATATTAAATAATGATACAAATACTTTTTATGTAGATTAGGTTCAGAAAGTCTAATACTTAATTTCTTTAAACTAATATTATAACTGATGACCTCCGTGGCCGAGTGGTTTTTACGTTGGGTTTCAAGGGTTCGAAACCTGTATGGGGGCAGATGTTTGTGTGTTGAATACAAGCATTCGTACTCCAGTCATGGATGTTTAATATGTATTTCTATACAATAATACTTATATATGTATCAGTATATGTAATCTATCCGTTACCCTAGTATCCCATAACACAAGCCTACAGTGCTTAATTTGGGGCCAGGAAAATTGGTGTAAGTGTTGGATATTTTTTTTTAAAGTAATTGAAAAGCTGCAAACGCTATATTAAGGTAGAGTACGAAAGATTTATATCTCTTTACTGTGTCTGTAGGACAAAAACCGACATATCTCTTAAAAGATATCAAGTTCTTCATAACTGTATTATGTATTGAAATTGTAAATATAAAATTGTGTAAATAAAAGCCAAAAGTGCCTATCTTCCAATATTAAATGAATGAGTACTATTTAAATATGGTAAAAATATATATAAAAAAAAATAACTTGTCGGTAACTCATTGTGCCAAACTTTTAATTCACATTTTTTAATATTTTTTTAAAAACTTTGGCTTCTCAAACCAGTAGTTTTAATTCGAGATGTGAAGCTAGTCAATAATAACTTGACTGTTTCATGACAAAAAAATATTTTTATTGATCACTTATGTCTTATGAATTATATATAGAATAATATGTCAGTTTATATGTTTATTGTTAGAGTAATGTTTGTTATAGAGTTGTTACTGGGTGGAGAGTTTTGTTTATAAAACAATCATGGCCGATTTGTATAGTAGGTAGGTTTTTAAGAGCGGACGCGAGTTTAGAGACATTTGAGAATTAGGTATTTCATAAAAAACTATTGCTGTCACGCATTGGCAAATACCGTGTGATAGAGACAACAGTAGTCGACGCTGAAAATTGGGTAGAAAAATTGCAAAATTCGAAGTTTAGCTCTCGATGATTTCCTTCTCGATAATTAGATATATGTAAAACAAAATTTACACAAGGAATAATAAGTAGGTATACTATGCTTTTATGTTTTGATTTTTTGTAAATGCTCATTAAATCTCCACACTAGACGTCTTTAGTGGTGATAAAAATTTGTTTATTATTGGCATTTTTCGAGGGCTTCTAGTTTCTTTGAAACACAAGTTATCGAAAAATGGAAAATATAGGAGGCATAGAATGAGTAAAATTTTATGTATGAAAATCTATTCTTTAGTGATAAAAATCAAGGAGGAATCAGTCGAGAGCGTTTGTATTGTAAAAACATTGCGCGCCTCCCCTCTTAATTATGTAAAATGATTAATTGTTACACTTAAAACCAGTTTATTTGTAAACTTTTGCATAGAACTTAACGAATAATTATGAAATGAATCCCATTTGACTGTTCACCAGGTGATGAACAGATGATGATGTTCAATAGTGGATACGTTTGGTCTCAACACCAATAAAAAGTAAATTGCATTTTTTTATTAGAGTTTCTTTTAACACCATTTCTAAGTTTACCTTAAGACACTCTAGTGTCAAAATTCTGATTTTACCTACTAGCAATATTTACAAATGAATGGTCTTCAATTATTTTGCTTTTATTTAAAGGACAGCACTTGTCGGAAACGGATTCGAAACCTATGCTTTGTCTGCATTGACGTATAAAAACAAGTAGACTCTCAATCGCCTAACAAAAGTGCATTAAAAAAACGTCCGAACGGTGCTGTGCATACAAAAAACAGTAACACGTTTGTTCAAATTAACACTTTATGTCGTGGCAGTAAGCTACAATGTCAATTGCACACGAGAGAGAGAGAGAGAGAGTGATTATGGTGCGAAAAAGAGAGATACACGAACACATGAGCCACTAAAATGTAATTAATAGGGTATTTGACGGTATTCAAAATAAAGTGCCAATTGTTAGCATCTGTGTTTAGAATGAATAATGGCGGGGGTTTTTAATATGTTAACAAAAAAAAATATATCCATAATTTTACTAAAAATCCACGAAAAAGATAATAGTTTTCATATCTATTGTCACGTGACCCAAAACGCTTGGGATGGGCGGAGCCTAAAATGACGTCACACACTAGTAAGACGCCATATTGTCCAGAAAAACGTTTTCGCGGCAACTTGAAATGGAGATTTTGATTTGGTTATTTTTACTGAAATACACAAAAGAATGATGAGTATCCGCTTTTTACGGACTCCATAAACATGAGCCAATAACGTGAGATCGTTTTCTAAAACTTGTCAAATACCCTATTTAGCAATGCAATAAAAAAGCTAAGAAAGTTGCATAATTTAGTTTTTAGTTTCAGGAGCACTTGAAATACGGACCTCCATATCTTTTAACCGGTGTCATTTGCGCAGTTTTCAACTGAACATTTTGTCATTGCGTGGCGTTGTAATCAAAGCGTGTTCGAATCGAATTCGAAAATAACTAAAAATAGACGGGTGTGCGTAATTTTGCGTCTGTCACTTTTTCAGTGCGATTGTGAATCTACTCGTTGTCTACGTCAATGTTTGTTTGTCTATTACATGAACACGCGATACACACAGCATCGAAATGAAAATCGTTTCAGTTTTCCTCCGTTTTTGTGAATAAAGACACTCAGATCGTAAACTTTAATGAATTATCACGAAGAGTTGCGTTTTCGACCGCTCACGTAATTTAGTTTTAATTCTGCATGCAATTAATGAGCTTGCGTTAAGGGCTTCTTATAGGCGCGGTTATGGGGGGTCTCTAGGTCCGACGTCCGGGCCTCGCGCCACGGTTTGCTCAATTTTCACTTAGTTTTTAAGTTCTATACAGCGGACTATGCAACGGGCATATAAGTTTCATCTTTATAGGTAGTTGGTAACCGAAGCAATAAACACAATTGGGGCTCAATACAAATTTATTTTATTTAAAATGACAATAATTATGACAATCATACTTGCACTAGATTACATTGTAAAGCTAAATCTCTGGAAATTTTAGGTGTAACTCGCGCTTGCACCAATCAAAAAACGAATCACAAATGCCGTTGTAAGACACTCTGTCCTTCTCGCACAGGCTATCCTCAGTAACGTGCGAGGGAGACAGATCGTCTTGCGTCGGTGTTTTCGGTTCCTCTCTTTAATGGTACGAGTAATAGCTCACTTATTACTGTTAAATTGATTTTGTGGTAAGATTTATGTATTTGATACAAAAAGTAAATATACCACATATTTAATAGTTTATGATTAATCTCTCATATACTAAAGTTATGGTAAACAAAATTATGGTATTGAATTAAAAATAACAGCAAAATTAATTTAATGTAACGATTAATGCCTTGTTGACACCAAGCGCGCTCAATGTTAAACTTTTAAATATTTAATTGATAATTTTATAGAAATCTATGTTTATTTTAATTCCCATTAAAGTAATATAGCTTACCGATTACTAGAATAATGTGATTTGTTGATTCAGATCTTCAAGTCCGGACGATTTTTTGTAAGTGATATTAAATATTATTATTACAATGAATAATATCCTAGTTTCAATTCACACGAACCTTCTGAAGGCTGTCATAGTTTATCAGCTAGATGTTGATTGGTCACTGCGAAAAGCTAAACCAGGTGGATTAAGCCACCAGCCTTTATTTGGTCCTTCAGTTTAAAAGTCTTTATCTCTTCTAAACCTAATTTCGATTCGCTATATTTGAAATAGTAATTATTTGATGGCATGGACAGATGGGTGTGAAAGAGACAAGTGATCGTGCGGCCATTGCATATACAAACTATTGGCCTCACCATAGCTTCGTTTCATCAGTTCTGTTTGATTTATCTATAACTATGGTTGTAAACAGAAATGTGCCAACTGCATTTGAGTACTCCTAGCACGAACCATTATCGAATTCGAATAGTTTACGAGTCTGCAAATGTCACTGTCAAATTTTGTATGGAAACTTGTACAGCAGCGCCACAAAGTGCGTAAAGAGAACTAAAAATCAGTACACATTTGACAATGTCATTTCGCACTCGCAAATATTATTTTACGGTACTGTACCCCTAGCACGAACCAATATCGAATTCGTATCGTTTGCGAGTCCGAAATGTCATTGTCAAATGTGTACTGATTTTTAGTTCTCGTTACGTACTTTGTGCCGCTGCTGTTCAAGTTTCCACACAAAATTTGACATTGACATTTCGGTTTGCAAACTATTCGAATTCGATAATGGTTCGTGCTAGGGGTACTGATCTGTCTGTTGTCTTTGGGAGTAGTTTAAATGCAATTTGCTCAGGAAATAATATCAGGTAGTAGGACATCGAAATTAGACAATGTCACAGAAAACAGGACCCTGTATATATAACAATTATGTTTGTTTTTGTTTGTCCGAGTTAAGAATCTATCATAAGATCGTAAGCGATATTTTAACTGAGGATTGTTTCTATTGTGTTTGTTTATCTGTTAGTGCCATAAGTCTGCGATATGGTGCGGTCGCCGACCGACGTTTTGAATAAAAAAATAGAAATAAAATGTTTACTACAAAATAATATTATGTGCCTTGCGCAATGTTTTTTAAGTTCGTTTTAATTATAAACCATGATACATCTATGCAAAATAAATAATTTCATCAAAACCATCTAAACCTTTAACGAGCAGCGCCCTTGGATGATGTTTTTCAACTAAAGCTTCATATTGGTGTCGATTCTGGTGTGATTCTCTAAACTTTATAACTAAATTTATAATCTTTCTGTCCTCATCATTCTGTATAGAGAATGGCAACTCTACACTGTTGTCAAATTTAAGTTTAGATTTATTTTTTAGTTCTATTCTTCTCTATTGAGAAAGGCAAAGGCATAGCCATGCAGCCATCGTCTTATTTTTGTATTAATCTTCCTGCGTGCGTGTGACGCATTCTAATGCTTCTTGGAGTGTTTGGCACGAAATATATCGAGTTGGCTTTTTCGATAGTCAATACTACAATGAAATTCTCACGTCCACTTGACCGGAATAGCGTATATTTTAAAGATTCCACTAATTCTTCAGTTGCGCAGATGGTTGTAACACAAAATCACACCAATTTTATTTCACAATATCCACTATGAACAAATTTAAGAATAATTAAAATAAGACGCCAACCGCACTCGATGAAATCCCGCCAAAAACCCTTTAAGTTTAGATTTAGAGAATAATGCTCGAATCGACACCAATGTAAAACCTTATTTATAATTAAAATAAAGCGATTCTGTTTAATATGCGTGTATGTACACTCTCCATAAAAAAATAGTAACAATTTCAATGGTGTGCAAAACTCCCATATCATATAAATAAAAAAAACACGTTTTTTAGATTTATTTATATCGATTAAAATAATAATATAGTTTTAATGTACTGATTTACTTCTAGCCAATGGTGTCGATTCTAGCAAGATTTTCTAAACCTAAACTTAAATTTGACAGCAGTATATCCTTGTCATTTTCTATACAGAATGAAAAGGAGAGACTGATGTTAAATTTAGTTTTAAGTTTAGAGAATCACGCCAGAATTGGCACCAATATATCATTATATTAATTTAAAAGGGCGACCGCACCACATTACCACTTCTTGTGAACATTTTGTTTCGCCTTAGGTGTTAATAATTTAATTAATTCGTGTAATGTATTAATAAAACTCTTACATTTTTAAATCGTTGTTTGTTGTTTTGATTGAAATTTAAATAAGTATTTTAGTATTTAGAAATATGTCACACACACTGACTGTTCAATAAGGACGCTAAAATAACAGATAAACATACAAAAATATGCCTGGGTGATCCTTAATAGTTTATTTCAACATTGTATCTTATATAAAATTCTCGTGTCACAATGTTAGTTACCATACTCCTCCGAAACAACTTGACCGATTTTTATGAAACTTTTTATGCATATTCCGTGGGTCTGAGAATCGGCTACTATCTATTTTTCATACCCCTAAGTGATAAGTGTTGTCCACCCCTAACATTTTTTTAAATTTTGGTTTATTTTTTTAAAATGTGTTATTAAAAATACATATAGCTCTAAATTTTCACCCCTAAAAAATATGGGTGGTAGCCATATTTTTATGGCGATACGAAGTTCGCTGGGTCAGCTAGTACCTATGTATATATGAAAAATCAAGTACTAAATCTTTAAGACTACTTCATAATAATATGATGACATAATTAGTGATATCTTATTAAAATCCACGTTTCAACGTTTATTTTTCAATAAAAAGGAAGTATTTAAATAAGATAAACATTAAAAAATATAAATATTTATTATTGACTTAGAATATTAACACTTACATAGAAAGATTTACAACTTAACAGTAGGTACAATGTTATTTTATCATATTAATAGATATAAAAATATAACAACATTCAATAAGTGGCAAAATTTATGATCACAAATTCATCGGAGTACATCAGACTCACTGAGACTCATAAAAGACACAATTTCTATAGAAATACAGTCTTCATTAATATAATTTTAAGGGACGTCACAAACAATGATTACCTTTTTTATTAAATAAGAAATTATCAGAATGTAAACATCACGAAGAAAATTCGAAAGTCCGAGACAGAAGTTCCGAATTCAGTAGCATTTAGGGGCCGTTCAAGTATTACGTAAGCACTATAGGGGGGCAGGGGGGTCTTCGCTTTGCTTATTTTTGATGACATGGGGGGGGGGTGTCATTACGTCAGCATCATGGATTCGGGTGCCATGGACTGAAGACTGTTAATTGGAATATATATGTTACCGGCCAAACCCGATTTCAGGACAAACTAGTTTTGCCTAGGCTAAACTGGTTCTTCCTATGCGCGATAGGATTAACTAGTATAGCCTAGTCCAAACTAATTTGTCCTAAGCCCGATAGGATAAACCAGTTTAGCCTAGGCCAAACTAGTTGATCCTGATAAAAATACGCATACTCTAGGATAAACTAGTATGGCCTAGTGTAAACATTATAGTATATCTAGAAAGTCAAAATAAATAGATTAACTGAATAAAATAATCCGTAATTGGAAAAATAATATTTTTTATTAAAACCATAATGATTCATCGTTACAAGTTATGGATAATTAGTAATACAAAGAAAAGTAAGAAAAGTTTAATTTTTCTAGTAAACTTTTCTTTAGATTTAAACACCTAGCAGTTAAATGCTTAAAAATAAATAAAAACACTAACTATAATTGCTATTTCTTCTTTCAAATGTTTAATACTTGAAAAAGTATTCATTTGACATTGTGGGTTGCGTGGTTGCAACCTACAATGCGAAGAGATGGCGCTGCCTTGCAGCTTAAGGCTAGGAAAATTTCGACGCGGCGAATAGGGCCGTGGTAGCATAATGGTCAGTGCATTCGCCCGGATTGCGAAGGGTGCGGGTTCGAGTCCGGTCCGCTGCCTGGTCTGCCTGGTTTTTTTTTCTAGTAAACTTTTCTTAAAATATTTTGAGTTTACAGTGAGATGAATTGTAAAAGGTTCGAATGATTCGGAATTTCTTAAGCCGGGTAGTTACTCATTGGCGAGCTGTAACCATAACCGTTGCACGCACTGTAACCAAAAAGCATAGTGTGTACGTGGTTCGATAACCTGCTGCGAGAACGGTACGCTTGCGGTTTGAAGCGAGCCAACGTTCACAACTGAGCTACTAGCGTACACACTAGAACTTCGTACTGTATCACGCATGTTACGGTAACAGATTGCTAATGCGTACCCGGCTTTACTGTCTTCCGAACTCCCGGCAACAACAAAAGAGTTAAACAAAAACCAATTACAGAAAAAACACTCCCTCCACTTTCTTCCAGCGTTCTTTTTACATGACGCGCCCTGTACAAGTCCTGACATGTTTGTTCAATTACTTTCCGCTTTGCTAAATTGGTTTAGACTAGGTCGTACTAGTTTATCCTAGAGTGTGCGTATTTATATCAGGATCATCTAGTTTGGCCTAGGCTAAACTGGTTTATCCTGTCGCGCTTAGGATAAATTAGTTTGGACTAGGCTATACTAGTTAATCCTATCGCGTATAGGAAGAACCAGTTTAGCCTAGGCAAAACTAGATTGTCCTGAAATCGGGTTTGGCCGGTAACATATATATATATATATAAAGTAAACTTTAGGGTTTGGTTGTGTTCCTTGTATAGAATTACCAACGAAAGTTTGACACCTTTCAGACCACTTTTATTTTCTAATTAAAGGGAAGCGCAGGGACGCCCTGCTCAGATACCTATCTGAGGAGGGATTTGTAGGTACAAATTTTTATTTCGGAATTCTGTAACACCCTGTATATATACCAAAAATTCGAAAGAAGTTTGTTTAGTTCGTAATAGTACTTAATAAGATTATAATATTTGTACCTTTTTCTATGTTGAATAATTAATTAAATATTCTAAGCCTATTCCAGTACTGCTGCTCATGATGCTCATGAAAGCTCATGAATCAATAAAAAAAACAGAATACACTAAAGGAAAAATGCATATAGGTACCAATGTTTACGTAAGCATGGGACGGGGGGGTAAGAGCTTTGCTTACTTTTGCTGCCGAGGGGGAGGAGGGGGTGTATAATTGTAATAAATCTGCTTACGTAATACTTGAACGGCCCCTTAGTCACTTAAGGCTGTTACAAAAATTAAATCATCAATCCTTCCATTTTGAAAGTAAATACATATTTAAACCTACGCCATCGACAGGAGGCTCAACAAGCAACTCGTTTCCTACTTGATTTTCTGTCATACAATGATTAGGTATTAGACAACTCTTGGTGCGTAGCGGTAAAACATAGAAATAATATATACTAAAGTATGTTTAAAAATGCAAAAGTATGGAAAAAAATTTGGAGTACCCTTATAGTTTATACTGTTGGAACGAAATAATTTAATGAACCGACTTAAATATTTTTACATCGATCAAAATTTTTACTTGGAAAGGAATAAATCGGGCTTTTGGACATTTTGCACGTTTTTTCATTTATTTACTTGTCTAAATGGGTACAGCAGACAGGCACAGCTTCAGAGTTGAATTGAGGCCATAAGAACCATAGTGGCCTTACAATATTGAGTTTATGATTTTTTCCAGTTCAAACTGATCATTTTGATAGAACCAGAGTGGTCTAAAAGTGATACAACGAATATTCACTAGATGGCAGCATAATTACTGTTACGGTTTTTAGTCTGTGATCTAAATTGCAGGTGCCATACTAGCCGAAGTAAGATAGGCCACTATGATTAAAAAATGAGTTAGGCCACTATGGTTCTCATGGCCTCAATGGTGAACACGAAGTTTGTGACTTTGAAACAGCGTTCCCAGATTATTTTTTTGCCAAGTCGGGACTTGGGAACTTTTTGAGTGAAAATTTGGTATAGAAATATTTCGTTACCTACGTTTAGTGTCGCCGCATACGGGCCACACGCCACAGCCACAAACGCCGCCACGAGAAGCTGCTGAAGCGCGCGACAGCGACCGACTAAGATAAGTGAGAGAGGGGTGGGGAATCGCGCGAGTGACGTGTGGCGGCGTTTTGGGTCGGCGCATTAAGTGGCCGGTGCGGGCCACAAGAAGCGAACAACGACGATTTGTAGCGTGTGGCGGCCACCGGCGTACCGTGTGTGGCGTGTCCATATAAAATGTATGAAAACTACAAGAAATATGCCGGTGGCGGCGTTTTGTGGTTATGGTCGGTGGCCCGTGTGCAGCGACACTTAGTGTTTATTCCAGAAATTATCCTTTAAAAGGGCGAAAAGGGGGGGGGGGTGCAAGTTTGTATGGAAACATATTAAATTAAGCAGACAAAATTGCGAGCATCTATCTACTAGTAAACAATAAATATTTTGAGTCTTAAATTTTATTTTGTTAGAAAAATAAAATTTATGTTTATTTAATTGTTTACGTCTGTGTTATGCTCGGGCATTGCTATCCTGATAACGCGAAGATTAGCCGTTTTCACGACGCATCTAACCAAGCAATAATCACATTCCAGAACACGGTCACAAATGTGACTATTGCTTCGCAATAGCGCGACAGTGTGGCCGTAGCGTTACCGAAACTTCATTGCTTCTTCAAAAAGCTATCATAGGATAGCGGTACTCAATAGATGGCGCTCCTCGATGCTGCATAATGAGGGTGTTTGGGAAAATTTACGTCACCACTTGGTGCCACTGCGGCATGAGGTCTTTTGTACGAAGTTTTTAGCGCGAATTAATCCAACGAGCGTTTAAATTGCTCCATATACTATGACGTCATACGTGATTTGACGGATGAGTAGACCTTTCGCCTCAGTGCCGCCACCTGGCGCCCGTCAATGCAGAAAACCCTCATTTTCTGTTTACGATACTCGTCCTTCAACCATAGAGGTATAAGAATAGCGTAGGGGAGATATAGGCTCTACTACAAG